GTGCCTGTGAAACACTGAGATAGAGGACTAATCTCAGGGAGTTCCTACTGGATTTCCCTTTATAATAGTTTTGTTCTTTACATCTTCCCCTGAAACTTGGATGCTTATAAAAATCTTACCCAGGTAAAAGGGAGGGAACAAGTATTCTGATCTTGTACAGTAAAAAACAAAAAGAGAAAATAATAAGGATACAGTGAGAACCCTTAGTCTATCCCGTCACAAAATTCTTCTGACAGCCAGACCTCAGGAGCATATAAGGCCCAAGCATCTGTCACACAACCACTGGTAACAACATGGGCATCTCCAGATGCTTTTTTCCATCGGAAATCAATCATGCGCTGGGAGGAAACATCCAGAAAGGCTAACTTGGAAAGAAATGTTTCATACACTTGGGGGCAAACGAAGCCATCGAGGAGAAGGGGGGTGTCCGCACCAGCAACGTGGGCAGACCTCCGCTTAGATCCTTTGGTCCAAGTGCATAGCTTCTCCGTGCTCCTATCTCATTAGGAGCCTGGTCGCGCCCCGGGTTACACAGTCACAGCCGGGTACATCTTCTGTTCGCTGTTAGTGTGAGGGAAGGGTGCCTGGATCTGCCTGTAGCCCGTCTGCAGGCTGTCCAGAAAAGGGGGCACAGGAGTCATAGGCACCGAGTCATGCTGTACCGTGTACCCCACATACGGGGGATGTAGGTACTGCCCTTGATGGGGCACAATCTGGGTGGCCTGCTGACAGTTCAGCACAGAGAAATTTGTGGGCATGTTGACATACACGTTGTTCATGGTCCCCTCGGGCAAGCAGCAGTTGGTCTGTGACCTTGTTGGGGGCGCCCTGGCCCCCGAGTTGGCACTAGAACTGGAGCTGGCAGCTGTGCTGGACTGGCGGGAGGACGAACCCCTTGAAGTGCTGGCACTGGGGATCATGGGGATGGTCTCCATCAGGCGGTTCCCTCCGGGGGCGCGGCTCTGCTGGGGCTCCTGCTTAGGCCGGAGACATCTGCAGCAACAAGCAGCCACCAGGGACCCCAAGATGATGAAGGCGACAAAGACGGACCCAACAATGAGGAATGGCACGTAGATGGGGACTAAAGGGTAAAAACACATCATCATGATTTATTCTAAGAATGCAGTAAAAATAGGTGCTTGGCAGCAGAGATACATAAATGAGCAACACCCACACCTTGCACTGAAGGACCAGAGCTGGGCCTCCTTGGCTGGGCCTGTCTGTGTGCTTCTTAGCAGCCCATGGGATGCCCTGTCCTTTGTAGGCACTCAGGGCAGGTGCTAGGGCCCCCTCGGCACCACCCAGAGCAAAATGGTTAACATTCGCAGCTAGGCTGGCCCACCCAACACGGCTGAGACAGATGTCCAATTTAGCAAAAATATGAATTTTATGTCCTGAGACTTCTGAGATTCCTACAATAACTAAACTGCTCAAACTTAAGTCTGCCCTCACAAATAGCTGTAGGACCTGTATAGAAATGAATTACATTGTTTAAGAGTCTTTTTCCCCCCCCAGAAAATTATATTCTTTACAAACCTCTTTTGCCACTTTTGAGCTCTTCTTTTAGGGGCACCTGGGTGGCTCAGTCAGTTAAGCATCTGCCTTCGGCTCAGGTCATGATCCTGGGGTCCTGGGGTCCTGGGATCAAGCCCGGCATTGGGCTCCCTGTTCAGCAGGGAGCCTGCTTCTCCCTCTCCCACTCCCCCTGCTCTTGTTTTCTCTCTCTCCCACACAAATAAATAAAATCTTTAAAAAATAAATAAAAAATTTAGGTCTAGCCATGACCTAAATTTGACCAAACCTGTAATGTAAGGCACAGAGGTCAAAGGGTAAAAAACAAAAAAACAAAGCACCCTCTACACTCACTTGCCTCTGAGGACTGGTCCTTGGGCCTACCACACACGCTGCATGGTAGGGGAGGAAGTGACTTCCCAAGAGGGAAGTTATTCCAGGCTACAGGTCAGCACGAAACACTGGACCAAGGAGAACAAATGTTGGGAGCAATGAGACCTTTGTTCCAGGAAGAGCCACCCCCAGTGATCAAGAAGGCACCCAGGTGGGACCAGGGTGGCCGAAGTGGACTGGTGACACCTGGACTTAACAGCATTGGGTTGTGTGTGAAGAGCCACAGGGAAAGCCTGCAGACCATAGAGCAGTAGGCATTATATTTAACAAGTGAGGTTTATTCTGCAAAAGCAATGTGAAAGATGAAAATAACATCTTTCCTTAGTTGGTAGCTCCACTTTTACTTAAAGCATGCTTTTGGAAGCCATAGGGCTAGCACTCTAGGGCTTCCAGAAGCCAGACACACTGGCTGATGGGGGCAGAGAGGAGGCTGCAGAATGCCTCAGGGCCACTGTTGCAGGCTTCCACCCTATGTTACAAAGAATCAGGGTTCTTAAAAGATTATATTTATTTGAGGGAGGAGGAAGAGGCAGAGGGAGAAGCAAACTCCTTGCTGAGCGCTTGATCCCAGGACCCCGGGATCATGACCCAAGCCGAAGGCAGACGCTTAGCCCTATGAGCCACCCAGGCACCGGTATTTTGGGTGTGCTCCCGCCCACTGCCTTGACTATTTGATCGGAAAATACATAAGGACAGGAACCAGGGCTCCCCAGTCCCAGCCAAGCACAGGGCCAGCGCAGTGTACAGGACAGCACTTGGGGGAAAGGCCCATTTCTCCTGCACCTCTGAGGTCAAATTCATCAAGTACCCTTGAACCGTGTCTTAGAGCAGTGGCCTTTCTAATTATCAGCACTCCGATATTCCTGACGGCGGGGTTTTGAGAACATAGGGCCACACGGAGTCCTGGGAGAATAATGCCTCATGAAGTAAAACTTTGCTTGGTATTTCACCAAAGGCTGGCATTTGAAGATTTCCTAAACCTTCACTGCTGAGGAATAAACACTGCATTTACACAGTGCCCCCCCTTAACAGATAGAAACACTTGCTCCAGAGCTCGCAGCACAGCAGGTGTTCAGACCATGGTACCGTTCTATCAGGCTAGCAGTAACACACTGGAGCAGGGACGCAGGTGATAAACATTTCATTCTCCAAATACCTTATTAGGATGTAAACAAAAGTAAAAAAAAAAAAAAAAAAAAAAAAAAAAAGCTCCAAACATAGCAGAAACTAGCTGAAAGCAGTGTAAGTTCACAGAATGAGTTTGGGGCAGAAAGAACTATTTCTCCTTCCAGGATTTTTAACGAGGAAAGTAAATAACTGCACAGAGGTGAAGAATGCAGCGCTCCCCATAAACTCTCCGCACCACTTGATTAGGCATGTTGTCCTTCTGGACTGTAGGAGAGAAGTGAGAAGAACAGACTTTTCAGGAAAAAGATTTAAAACTAGAGTGAAGAAGGCACCCACGCACATCATGAAATGTGCCTCATGAAACGTCAGCTGCCTCCTGCTTTGTCCAAAGTCAACCCCAACTTTTTAGAGACTGCTGATGAGCCCAACTTAGCAGACACTTCAAGGGAGCAGTTCTGTCTTTGGCTCATTTCTCAAGGTTCTATCCCACCACCACACACCCTGCAACAACGAGCTCGAGCTTTAAGATGGCACCTGTTCTGGAATTACTACTCTCGGTTCTGTACTCTTCAGAGTCAAGGCCGGGGGACAATAGGAGTAACTTGCTCATAAAAAGCCTGACTGCAAAGGGAACAGCCCTGAAGAGTGGCCTCTTACCAGGCCCAGGAGACAGTTCTGTAAACACGGGCCACGCAGTGCCAAAGCTCAGGCAGCTTAAACCCTGGCTCAGCGCACTGATAAGAAGTCCTCTCCTTAGCAGAAGCAGCTGCAGAAGGAGACCTCCATCCATGACGCGTCTGCCATTTGACCTCCACCTCTAGCCCGATGCTAAATCCTCCCTTCTGTCCTCAAGCACACACTAGTGCAGACCGTCAAGGGAGACAGTCTGTGAGGTTTCTGAAGAATGAAGGAAGTGCAATCTATCAAATTCGTTCGTGGATTTGTTTAGGTTTCCAGCTCTGGCTTTGGCAACTTGAAAAAAATATAGAATTTTAAAAAGAAAAAGAAAAAGAAAAAAAAACAACTAAAACCACAAAGAGCAAGCTTGGGCATGGCTCTAATGTCACACCTACCAAGTCTGAGCGGTCAGGAGAACCGCCCAGAAACCAGAGAGGCCCGGGGCCCTGCAGCCAAGTGTTCCAGGGGATGGGAATGCCCCGGGGTCTGGCACAGCGCAGCATCCCACGGGAAGGTCCTGAGGAGCTGCCTGCCCTGGACGAGGCGCCCTCGCCATTTCCCCAGGTACCACCACGACGCTCACCCTTACTAGGAGTTAGACCCACGAAGGCAGGAGGTGTGGCAGGGGAAACCGAGGTCCCCGGCCAGGAGGCCTGCGGGAACGTCTGCACCCCCACGCTGCCTTACGTGGGTGGGTGGTTTTCTGGTCCAAGCCCAGCCAGTCTATGGGTGACGGACGGGGAAACCGAGGCTCGGTGCACCGCTCAGCACGAGTTGACAGCTGGGCCGGGGTGCGCCCGCGCCCGCCCCGCCGCGCTCCGAGCCGCGCGCCCTACCTGCCGCGCCGTCGGGGCCGTCCTTGTCCGCGCGGCCCGGCTCGCCCGCGCCCTGCTGCCGGTCGTTGTCGCAGCCGCCCTGGTCCAGGCGCGCCTCGGCGCTGGAGCAGCAGTAGCGCAGCGCGCAGCTGCCGCAGCAGATGGTGGCGTCGCCGCCGTCGAAGCGCTCGGGGCACTGGAAGCCGAGGCGCCAGACGCCCTGCGCGTCCAGCCAGCCGTGGCAGTACTCGCCGCTCGCCCGCGCCCCCGCCGCCAGCAGCGCGGCCAGCAGCAGCTGCAGCAGCGAGGCGGCGCTCCGGGGCGCGGCGGCGGGCGAGCCGCGTCCGCCCCACATGGCACCACCCCGGCGCGGGCGGCGCGGCTCCAGGGGGCGCACGGCGGGCTCCGCGGCGGCGCCGACCCGGCCCCCGGCCCCTGCCGCCGAGTCCGGAGCGGAGGACGCCCGAGTCCTAAGCCATCCCTCCCTCGGCCGGGCGGCCCGGCGCCGGGGGCGCTGCCTGGAGGGCGGGCGGGCGGGCGGGCGCTGCTGGGGCGCGCGCTGCTGCTGGGGCTGTCGGGGCGCGCGGTCAGAGCGGCCCCGGAGCGGCCGTGCCGCAGCCCCGGGAGGCGTCACCCGCGGCCGGAGCCTCCCCGCGCATCCCCGAGGGGACGCTCCCTCCCGCTGCCCACCCGAAGCCGGGGCGCTGCCGCGAGCGGAGGCCTCGGGGTCCGGCGCCCGAGTCGAGTCCGGGAGCGCCTCCCTCCCTTACGCCCCGCTCGGGCGGCGAGAAGGGGCCGCGGAGGCGGGCAGCGCGCGCAGGGCTCCGGGCAGCAAGTGCAGCGACCGGCCGCGCTCAGCCCGCCCAGCCCCGAGCTCCGTCCGCATGGCTCCGGCCGCGCCGCCGGCGCAGCGCTCCCGTCCGCGGGGCGTCCGCGGGGCCGCGGGCCAGTGCCGCCGGCGCAGCCCCGGGAGCCGGCCGGGCGGCTGCTGCTGGGCGCGGGTGCAGGCGGGCGGCTCGCCCCCGGCCCCGGCCCGCGGCCCCTGGCCCCCGGCGGCAGCTCGCTCCCGTGGGAGCCGGGCAGCCTCCGTCCGGCCCGCCCGCCCGGGCCGCCGCTTCCTTCGGGAGGGGCGCACGGGCCGGAGCCTCCCAGGGAAGTGTCGGCCCTCGCGGCCGCGGGGAAGCGGGGAAGCGCGGAAGCGGGGAAGCGCGGAAGCGGGGAAGCGCGGAAGCGGCGCCCGGCTCCGCGCCAGCCCCCACTGCGCTCGCCCGGGCGCTGCGCGGCGCTCTTAAGAGGGGCCGGCCGGGCGGCTGCGCATGCGCGGGGCGGGCTGCCCTCCTCCCCGCCGCCCGCCGCCCGCCGCCCGCCGCCCGCCGCCCCGGACGCCGCGAGCCCGGGGCCTTCCGACGCCCGCGGGGCCGCGGGAGGACGCGGGGCGCGGAGGAGCCGCCGGGGCGGGGAGGCCCCCGGCTCTCGATCCGACCCTCAAAACTTCCCCCAGAGGAAGGATTAGAATCGCTTCCCGTTCGGGCGGCGCAGCTGCCACGCGGGCCCAGCGTCTCCCCCGCTTCCCGCGGCTCGTGCGGGCGTCGGCGGGCCCGGGCCGCCCACGGGGGTGTGCAGGGCGCGCCCCGGGCCTGCGCCGGGGCAACGAGGGGCCTCCAGGATCAACGCTGCAAACGCGGCCACCGCCTGGAGGATCTGGGCGAACTCTCTCTTCCCTTACTCGGCCGGGGCCGCTTACTACTGGGCTGAGGCAGAAAGGTGCCTCCGTTCAACACGTGCCTCACGGGAGCAGACAGCTGCAGCCAGGAGGAAGACAGGGCTCACGAGACCCGAGACGCGGCTTTGGCGAAGGAGAAGTTAATGGCTTCTCCCTCGCGGAAGCTGAAACCACAGGTGCTGATGCTATTGACGCAGCAGCGATTATTTTTGAAAGAACGAGTGACCCCTCCGACACGGTCTGGAAGGTCAGCAGACCCGGTTCTTGGGCCCAGCCCCACCAGGAGGGAAGCACCGCTCCCTGTTGGCCGCGTCTGTAAAGCGGAGCCTGGGATGCGGTGACCACGAAGGTCCGGTCCAAGCCCGCGGCCGCAGAACCCGAGGCAGTTTGCGTTCTCGGCAAAGGACCGCGCGGTGCGAACAGCCCCTGGGCGCTGTGCAGGCCGGCTCCGGGCGCCGACACAGACGTGCTCGGTGTTCTCCTCCTCGGCCCAGCAAAATCCACTCAAAGGAGAAAAACCTGCCCTCTTACTCACCCCCAGTGAAGACCTCATTCTTTTCACTAAGCCTCTCTCCAAGGACTGCACGTAATTTCATTGTTGGGGGGGGGGAGGGGGCGTTTTTAGCTTTATAAAATTATGTATTGTAAACGCACCCGCCACCAACTTTTCTTGACCCCATATGTTGACAGAATTTCAGTGACAAATTATTCATCCAACAAACACATGTTAAAGTCTTCCAGGAAGTATACTCTGTTGGGTGCTAGGGATGAGAATCCAGACATCATGGATATTCCCTTCAAACAGAGCTCCGAGTCCCTGGGGCAAAACAAATTGGACAGAGAGACAAAAGAGTTGAATAAACAAAGATAATGTATGATAAAGGCTGTGCCTGATAGTGTACAGGGTCGATTTAAGCATATAACCTGGGGGTGACCAGGGTGGGAAGGTCAGAAAAGTTATCAGAGGAATGGCACTAAGTTAGACCATAAGAGGAGCGCCCGGGGGGCTCAGGTGGTTAAGCAGCTGATGTTGGTTCAGGTCATGGTCCCAGGGCCCTGGGATCCAGCGCAGCATTGCCTCCCCGCTGGATGGGCGCTCTGCTTCTCCCTCTCCAACGCTTGTGCTCTCTCTCTCATAAATAAAATCTTTAAAAAAAAATTAGACCAGAAGAAAGTGAGGGAAGACCCAATTATTTCAGACTGAGTCATTTTCTTCATAGATCCTATTAGCTAAGTTTACTGAGGGCTTATTCTGCACCAGACACTGAGCTGAGGCTTACCTGCATAGCCTCATGTAATCCGGGCAACACACATATGAAGACATAGTCACTATCCTCATTTTCCTAGTGAGGATAACTGGCCCAACCCATGCACATAGAAATTGTCCATTTGCCTGGACTGCATCAGAGTTCTAGCCCAGTCCGCCTCACTGCTAGTCTCCCCAGTCTCCACCACAGTAAACCCTGGATTAACTATGAACTCTATGCCAATCTCCAGATGTTTAGGTATCATTATTTTCCTGTGGCACCATAAATTAATTTCGGTGGAGTTCAGAGGGTTAATACCCTTACCTTTTTTTTTCCTTTGGGGAAAAAAAAGTGACTGCAAAACAATTGTACATTTCTCTAGTCAGTACCTATACCGTACTCTTCTTCCACTGACCATTATTCTCTTGTCCAAAACATGACAGTTTGTCAGCATTTATTTATGAAGAAAGCAACATTGAACATTTTCATGTTGGAATTGATTCGGTGACCTAGTAGTGCCACAGTTTCAACACAATATATTTTTCCCAAACAGTTCACGGTTTGGTCACCGGTAAGCTTCAAAGTGCAGAGCTATGAACAAATTCATTGTCCTTTTTATTGATATGTTCCTTTGTTCCTTGAAAATTAAAGAGACCTGGGGCACCTAGGTGGCTCAGTTGGTTGAGCTTCCAGCTCTTGGTTTTGGCTCAGGCCATCATCTCAGAGTCGTGAGATCCAGTCCTGTGTCAGGCTCTGCGCTCAGCCAGCATACTGTTTGAGATTCTTTCTTCCTCCCTCCCCCTCCTGCTCTGCTCCCCCGCCCCCCCCCCCATCGCGCTCACTCTCTCTCTCTAAAAAAATAAAATAAAAAAATGAAATCTTTAAAAAAAAATTAAGGCCGGTTTCTCTCTTTTTTTTTTAAGATTTTATTTATTCATGAGAGACGCACACAGAGAGGTAGAGACAGAAGCAGAGGGAGAAGCAGGCTCCACACAGGTAGCCTGATGCGGGACTCGATCCCAGGACCCCGGGATCACGCCCTGAGCCAAAGGCAGACGCTGAACCACTGTGCCACCTAGGTGCCCCTAAGGCCTGTTTGTTTCATAGTTACTTTATGTGGTGTTGATTGCTGATTGTCTTCAAGGCTTGGATCCTTTAAATCACCTGTTCCTCCCTCTGGCTTGTTTTTACTTTTAATTTGTGTCTCCAGTATGTTGTATTAAAATTGTATAAAATAAGTTGTCAAATACTTATTGTGCTTCTGTCTGGGAGGTGCTACTGGGAGATATTAAGTTGGTCTTGCTCCTTCCATAAGAAATAAAAAGAAATTCCCTCACTGTCCTTAACAGAGAGCCTAAACTAATTTTACTAGTCTCTTCTGAGAAACTATAACTAGAAAACATAACATACAGGTAGTTGTAATAATAATTTATTATAATCAAAACTAAATGTCAGGCCGACTGCCAAAATATATTTAAACACATATGAAAGAGTCCCCTCTTCCTTTTCAAAAAGTTTAATTCTATAGACGTTCACTGCAGAGGTATCTTTTCAGGTAACCTTGTCTTTCAGTCTGTGCCTTTATATATGAATAAAATGCAATTGATTTAAATGCAAACTGCTGACATATCTTTAAAAGTACAAGTAGAAAGTCCTATAACTAAAGAAATGATTACTTATACCTTTGCTAACTGGAGTTGACACAAATCATATGGAGGTAATCATATTTCATTTGGCTGGCAGTTCTAAATGCTGCAAGAGCTACAGTGTTGTTCTGGAAGTTTCAGCAAGAGCAGAAGGTTCTTACCATCTGTACACCAGTCAGCAGTCTGTTTAGGAAGAATGGCTTTCACTGGGTTCATTCATTTTTTTTTCCTTTCTCTTTTATAAATACGAGTAGTACTGAAAATTCACATTTGGTTTGCCAGAAGTTCTTTTAAGTTAAAGTGTTTGTGTTAACAAATGAGACCTCAAACCCAAACAAATATGCTAATTTACTTTTCTTTTAATTTTGCCTCATGGTTACCTAACCTCATCTGAAAATAAAAATTGTCATTAAATTTTGAAAAAAATTCTTTTTTTTTGAAAAAAAATTCTTTCTTGTTGATTTTAAATTTCTCATCTTTCATCCTCCTATTTTTTTCCCTTGTAATTAATATACTGACTTTCGCAAAGTAATTCCCATATTTTAAATTCTTTTTTTTTCCTCTGGATGCCTGGGTGGCTCAGTCAGTTAAGTGATAGACTCTTGATTTCGGCTTGGGTCATGATCTCAGGGTTGTGAGGTTGAGCCCCGTCTCCAGACCCTAGTCCAGCTGGACACACAGTAGTGAGTCTGCTTCTCCCTCTCCCTCCACCTCTCCCCCTGCTCATGCCGGTGTGCTCTCTCTCTCAAATAAATAAATAAATAAATAAATAAATAAATAAATCCTAAAAAAATCTTTTTTTTCTCATCTACCATTGACTTTAAACATTTGACATTCTTCTTTCCCTCCCACACCCTTACCCCTAACTCCAGAGTTTTAATGAACCATTTTTATATTGATTTTGATGTTTACTATTGTTATTATTATTTCGGGGGGAAACAGAGTTACAAGCCAGCCAGGACGTCTTCCAGTAATGCAGGAATATCTAAAAGGGTGGCATAAACAAAATCAACCTGGCATCAAAAGCCTACAGCAAATATTTGCCAATTGCATACCTGGTAAGAGTCTAGTATCCAGAGTATATATACAAATCAATAACAAAAAGACAAATCACTCAAATAGCAGGCAAAGGGCTTGAATACATATTTCTCCAACAACTAACAAACACATGAAAAGATACTCAACATTGTTAGTCATTAGGAAATGAACATCAAAATCACAATGAGATGCCATGTCACACCTGCTAGGATGGCAATAATAAAAATAATGATAATCAGAAAACAACAAGGATTGGAGAGGATATGGAGAAATGGGAACCCTTACACATTGCCAGTGGGAATAGAAAATGTTGCAACCACTGTGCAAAACAGTTTGACATTTCCTTAAAAAGTTAGACATAGAATTACCATATGAGCCTGCAATTCCACTCCTATGTATATGTACTCAAAAGAATTGAAAACATATGATCCTGGGGGCACCAGGATCATTGACGCAGTCAATTAGGCATCCAACTCTTGATTTTGGCTCAGGTCATGATCCCAGAGTTGTGGGATCGAGCCCCATGTCAGTCTTCACACTCAGAACAGAGTTGGCTTGAGACTCTCCCTCTCCCTCTCCCTCTGCTCCTACTCCCACTAGTGCACACACACACACATGCGCGCACACACACACTCTCTCTCAAATAAATAAATAAATAAAATCTTAAAAAATGAAAGCCTATGACCCTGTATATATTTGTACACAAATGCTCATAATAGCCAAAAATTGGAAACCATCCAATGTCCATCAACTGATGAACAGATAAACAACATGTAGTATATCCATGCAATTGGAATATTATTCAGCCACAAAAAGGTAGGAAGAACTGCTACGTGCTACAACATGAATGAATCTGGAAAGTATTATACTAAGTGAAAGAAGCCAGACACAAAAGGCACATATTGCATTATTCCCTTTATAGGAAATATCCAGAATAGGGAAATCCATCATAGAGATGGAAAGTAGATACGTGGTTACCAGGGAGTGGAGTGGGGGAAGAAAGGGAGTGACTGCTTCATCGGTATGAGGTTTCTTCCAGGTTTGAAGATGTTCTGGAACTAGATATTAGCTATAGTGGCACAACACTGTGAATGCGCCAAA